CAGTCTGCAGCATGGGGGTGCAGCGAGGGAGGGCTGAGGTTGAGGGGATACGCAGTAACAGCTGAGACAACTGAGACTCAGGCCACAGGGCTCAGCAGGGGGTTCCTTACACGGGTGCGGGGCTGAGGGGTTGGAGACCAGCAGCTGGGGTGGCTGAGGTGGCTGGGTGCCCACACGTGTCCCTGTGTGTCCACCTCTCGCCTTCCTGGACCTGCAGAGGGGACCCAGGTCCGCCCCCGCCCTAGTGAGGGCCCTGGTGGGGGGAGTGGGGCCTGGAACCCAGGGGGGCAGAGTGGGCAGGGTCTTGGAGCCACTGGCCTGCGTTTGGGGGAGAAGCCAAGGTGTGGGCAGGGGAGGGATCATCTGTGACTTGGGCCCGTGGTGGCCCTGCCTGGGGCTCTCTGAGCGGCCCCGTGTCCCCATTGAGATTGGACACACACAACTCCAAGTCTCCGTCAGAGCGGCTTCATGCCTGGTGGGGTGGGCTGGGGGCTCAAGAGCCACCCTAGCCCTTTATTTTGACCCTGTGGAGGCTAACACCCCCTCTGGTGCTCCCTGGGCTCATCGCCCCCAGGCACCAAAGCCGGGGCGCTGACGCCACACGCGTGACCTCAGGCTGTGCGTGCCACGGCTGGGGGAAGCGAGGCTGTCTCCTGGGGTGACACGTTAACCTTGGGGCACCTCTGACCCCTCTGACCGGGACCTGACCAGAAGGTCCTGCACACAGTGGGGATGGCGCAGAACACAACTTAAAACCCAAGGAGAGACCAGGCACCCTGGTCTGCTGGAGCCAGAGACCACGACTGCTGCCCCCGGAGACCCCTGAGCCTGGAACCGGACCCACCAGGGCCCAGCTTCCAGCCACACCCACCCTCACAGGCCAGTGCCCCCAAACTCAGCTCAGGGATCGAAAGCCAAGCTTCTTGTGAAGCCTCACTCTAACCTCAACGACATGCCCGAGGCCCCGACTGTGGAATGGCCGCTGCCCCCCCGGCCCCCGTGGCTGAGGCAGCGCCCCCACACCAGAGTGGCCTCCCAGTGCCCAGGGACCCTTCATCTTGTCAGGGGTCGGAGGTCACGGTGGCTCAGAAGGCAGCCTTTGGAGCGAAGAAGAAAGTCTCTATCTTCTCAGGGCACCGTGGAGGGCCAGTTGACTCCACCTGTCCCGGCAGGTGCAGCCGGGGGACATAAGGGCCCCCTGGCCCCCAGCTTAGCCCAGCTGTGGGAATGACCCAGGAGAAGGCGTCCCCGCACTCCCACGCCAGCTCAGCACCCGCACTGGCTGCAGGACTGTGGGGTGGGGGGGTGGGAGGCTCTGGGGGTTGTGCTGCCCGGTCAGAGTGCCACCCGCAAAGGGGCAGTGTCTGTTCTGTTGTGGAGTTGGGACTGGGAGCCCAGGAGAGTGTGTGTGTGTGTGTGTGTGGAGGAGGAGGAGGGGTGCACGGCAAGGGGAGCAGAGAGGTTGCAGGTGTCACAGCAGCTCACCCTGACTCAGGCACCCTGCCCCTGACACCCCGACACAGGGACCCCAGTGCAGAGTCACAGGCCTGAGAGTTGGGGAGTTCTGTGACCTCCCCTGAGACAGGCATCCCCACAACGAAGGGAGCCCCGAGTGCTTTGCCCTCCTGGTGTGTTTGGGGCGATGCTGCCGCAGACGTAGCCTATGCTGCGCGGCGCGTGACGGTCTGAGACTCTTGACACTCGTCCAGAATGAGCAAGGTGGCCCAAGGCCAACCCCTCCCCCACCCTGGAGCACAGGCTGTGGGGAGCTGGCCCCCACAGACCACCGTCTGTCTGCAAGGGCCGTGCCTGCGGGGCCAGCCCAGCACTGGGGCCTTGCGCCAGAGCCTGGCAACCTCGGTCGTCTCAGAAGCCACCGGGGCGGCTCTCCCTGCCTGTACGGCCCCTGCTCCTCAGAACCGGTGCCCCTGCTCGTCAGAACCAGCTCGATGGCAGCGAGCTCACCTTTTAATTCCTTTGGCTTTGTCCCCCGCGGGGACTCCTTAGAGGACGCTTCCAGAGTGGGCCGCTCTGACCTGCTCCCGCACCGGCAGGTTTACTTGCCGATTTTACTTCTTAAACTGGCTGCCCAGAGCCCGCCGGGACACGCCCAGATTGGAGGCCCCTCTCACAGCCGTGCCCATGGCCGTTGGAAGAGCCCGTGCCCCGTGGGGTCCTCCACAGCCGTGACCAGTCAGGAGGGGGTCCCCAGGCCTCTCTTCCCAGGCCCCCGGGGAGGAGTGGCCTCACCAGAGTCCCCAGGCAAACTGCTCTGGGGCAGAGTCACCATGGACTAGGGGCTGGCTCGGTGGCACCTGGGGTTTTGGTTTAAGTTGGGGGTGATGGGATAGGTGGTATGTATGCAGCACCCCTCACTGCCAGGCTCGGGCACCAGGCCACACGGGCGCCGTGGGGTGGCAGTCCCCAGGGGATGTGCTCAGTCCCAGGAGCAGGGCAGGGCTCAGCTGGCAGGTGGTTTCCCGTGAGCCTGCCCTGCCTTCAGGTGGGAGAGGGCCACAGAGACTCCAGAAAGCTGGGAGGCGGGAGAGCTGGGCGCAGGGTCTGGGCGCCAGGGCCCCAAAGGATACCAAGCCAGGTGTGGGGAGTGGACAGACCCCGGTCCTTCTACCAGCTTCCCTGCCCACCCCCCGCCCCCCTCTCTCCTGGTCTCCGTCCTGTTCCCTGCTCCCAGCTCTCCTGGTCTCCGTCCTGTTCCCTGCTCCCTGCTCTCCTGGTCCCTGTCCTGGCCCGCAGGGCGCCCAGGGAGTGCTGTAGCCACCCTGTGCATGAGAGCAGCTGGGCTGGACCTAGCTGTCCTTGGTGGTCAGAGCCCAGACCCGTGGGCCCACGTTTGATGCAGATGCTTTGACCTGAAAGCTTCTTCAGGGTCCAGGAAACAGGTCGGAGAGGAGTGGCAGGGGTCTCAGAGGACGGCGGCCGGGCCAGACCAAGAGCCACCCCTTCGAGCGAGCAGCCAGAGAGGAGGCAGATCCTGGCCCTGAGGACCGCGGCCCCAAGCCGCCAGCCCCCAGAGAAGCAGGGAGGAGGGGAACCTGAGGGCCATGGGTTTCTTTTGAGGGTGGGGAATTAAAGCTGGTCTGCTGACCTCGGGCAACGCGAGCTAATCAGTGAGCTGCCGCCTAGGTGGGCACTTTGGGGGCCACGTGCTCTGCTCTGTGGATATGCTTACACGTGACCAACTAATCAGGCTGCGGGCACCCTGCGGGGCCAGCGGCCAGTTGGGTGGAGACACCTGACCGGTTCCATGATGAGGGAGCCAGGGAGCAGGGTGAAGGCTGAGTGGGGACCTGGTGGGAGGTCCTCAGGCCCACAGGCGTCTCTTACTTTCCTTTCTCTCCGACTCACTGACTCTCACGCTGGTCACCTGGTCACGAGCCCCAGCCACCTGCTGGTGCCTGCTAGTCAGACGGAGAAGCAAGTGGTGCAGGGGGTGGGGAATGGGTGGGCAGGGATCAGGGAGGATGGGCAGTGGATCTCAGTGTCTGGGAGCGAGCGGATCACACGCACGGGCCAGACGGCCCTCCCTCCACAGCACCCTTGGTTCTGAGCTCAGCAGCTCACCCCAGGGCCCAGCGTGGGGCAAGCCCACCCAGCAGGTAGCTCCTCTGTAGAAAAGACCCAGCTGTCCACCCTGACAAGCTGCTGAACCCTGTGTGTGGGGGTGGGGGTGGCAGTCCCACCGTGCCACCTGGAATCGGACGGCAGAGCTGATTGGAGCATCAGACGGGCACCTCCTCCAGCCCCCTCCTCTGAGATGTCCCGCTGCTTTGGTGCCCCTGCCGGGAATGGGCTGCCCGGGGCAGACCCCAGTGCAGGTGCGCCCCAAATATGCCCTCCAGGTGTCTTTCTCCACCCGTGCCTGGAGAAACCACGCGTGCCACCACCAAAACCACACAGGATGCACCATGCTTCCCCTAGAGCAGTGGCTCCCAACCTTCCTCCTCTCGTGGCCTTTCGTACAGCTCCTCGTGTGCTGGTGGCCCCCCAGCCATAAAATTACTTTCGTTGCTACTTCATCACTGTCATTTTGCTACTGTTATGAGTCGGGAGGCCCCTGTGAAAGGGTCGTTTGACCCCCAAAGGGGTCAGCACCCACAGGTTTAGAACCTCTGCTCTAGATCCTGGGGACTCCAGACAAAGCTCACCCTTTCCACCCAGTCCACGAGACCAACGGCCTCTTCTCTTGCTGCATCCTGAGCCCCGGCCTGCCTGGGAGGCAGAACCCAAGGGGACACGCAGACCCCATCGCAGAAAGCAGCCTGGGGGCTTCGTGTGAGCACCCCACCTTCTCCTCTCCAGGGGCAGAGCTGTTGCTGGAAGGCCCGTGGTCTTCCTGCTGAAGAATTGGGGGGACCCGCCGTTTCCTCAGGGCGTCAGGCCAAGCACGACTTGCCCCCGGGGGTGTGAACTCTTGGGGTGAGTGATTTCTGTGGGTCATGGTAAGAAGGTGGCAAAGGGTGGGGGGGCTGATAGGATCATGTGACCCAGTTGTAAGTGAATATTAACTGGATTAATTGTGAACGCACAACCTTGGAGCTTGAATGTGGGCTGCGGTCGATGCTGCCCCCCTGCTGGTATGAGCCTCGCTGTCTCAGAAGCAGGCCTGGAGCCTCACTGCCACTGGGAGAGAAGACCCAGGAGTAGGGCGTGCCCTGTGGACCCCGAGATCCGAGCACGGAACCTCCTCGGTAGAGGCAGGGTGTGCACAGCAGCAGCACCAAGACCCCCCCGAGCCCGAGCAGTGGGCTTCTGTAAAGCCGGGCCCCGGGCAGGAACTTGCAGTGGCATGAGGTGTCTCCGGGCACGTAGCTGGGGAGCTAGATTTGCTGCACACAGAGCCCGAAAGGAGTGCTTGAGGCTGAGGCTTGTGGGAGAGAGGTGTACCCTCTGGGCATTTGCCGGCAGTGCTACAAGAGCTTCGGAACGCTACATTTGAGCAGGGCAGAGGCCAAGGAGTCAAGTGGCCGAGCAACCAAGGATCCAAGAGAGGCGTGCCTGTGGGAATGCTGGGAAGAGGCAGTCCTGGCCCAGGAACCGTGCCCTGAGTCTTTCTGGTCCCAAACTGAATTGTCCACTTTCCTAGGAAGCCCTCCAGTTATGAGTGTAGCTGCTGCGTTCTGTGTGGCTATGCAGTAGATTGTTGAACCCAGGCGGAAAGCAGAGAGCGTGGGAGGATGGCTGGTCACAGAACGGGTCAGGAGACGGGTGGGTGGAGGCATATCTGACCCCTGCCTCGTAGGAACTGGCCATGGGCAGATGAGTTGGGTTCTCCTGCCCTCCTGTGAAGCCAGAGGAGCTCAGATGCCACCCCTGCCGTTTTGTTCAGCTCCCCAAACTGGAGAATGCCTGCTTCCTGCATCAGCACAATGCTCGCAGGGCTCGGTGAGAGTGTGTGCTTAGGAATGGTTCCCTGGAGGGGCAGGTGGAAGTGCAAATGGTTGGGTGGGTGGGTGGATAGATGGATGGATGGATGGATGGATGGATGG